TCAACTGAGGGACCTTACAGATAATTGTATGTGTGGGATACAGAGATGAGGTACTCATTCAAAAATCATGTTAAACACTATTATTGTACACAGAGTGAGTCCATGCAACTTTCTATGTCTTGTTAAGTAAAATGTTTTACTCCTGAACATATTTAGGCTTGTCATAACAAAGGGGTTGAATACTTACTGACTTAAAAAAACATAATTCCACTTTGACATTATGGGGTATTGTGTGTAGGCCAGTGACACGAAATCGCTATTTAATCCATTTTAAATTCAGGCTGTAACACAACAAACTTTGGAAAAAGTCAAGGGGTGCGAATACTAGGCATTGTAAGCTATTGCTGGTTTTGCTGGTGACCAGCCTTTGTTGTTATGGACACTTTGATCAAATCAAATCAAATTGTATTTGTCACATACACGTGTTTAGCAGATGTTATTGCGGGTGTAGCGAAATACTTGTGCTTCTAGCTCCGACAGTGCAGTAATATCTAACAAGTAATATCTAACAATTTCAAAACATATACCCAATACACACAAATCTAAGTAAGGAATGGAATTTAAGAATATATACATATATGGACAAGCAATGACAGAGCGGCATGGACTAAGATACAGTAGAATATTATAGAATACACTATATACATATGAGATGAGTAGTGCAAGATATGTAAACATATGTTCCATTTAAACTAGTGTTCCATTTCTTAAAGTGGCCAGTGATTTCAATAGGCAGCAGCAGCCTCTAATGTGCTAGTGATGGCTATTTAACAGTCTGATGGCCTTGAGATAGAAGCTGTTTTTCGTTCTCTCGGTCCCAGCTTTGATGCACCTGTACTGACCTCGCCTTCTGGATGATAGCAGGGTGAACAGGCAGTGGCTCGGGTGGTTGAGGTCCTTGATGATCTTTTTGGCCTTCCTGTGACATCAGGTGCTGTAGGTGTCCTGGAGGGCGGGTAGTTTGCCCCCGGTAATGCGTTCGGCAGACCGCACCACCCTCTGGAGAGCCCTGCGGTTGCGGGCGGTGCAGTTGCCGTACCAGGCGGTGATACAGCCCAACAGGATGTTCTCAATTGTGCATCTGTAAAAGTTTGTGAGGGTTTTAGGTGCCAAGCCAAATTTCTTCAGCCTCCTGAGGTTGAAGAGGCTCTGTTGCACCTTCTTCACCACACTGTCTGCGTGGGTGGACCATTTCAGTTTGTCAGTGATGTGTACGCCAAGGAACTTGAAGCTTTCCACCTTCTCCACTGCGGTCCCGTCGATGTGGATAGGGGGGTGCACCCTCTGCTGTTTCCTGAAGTCCACGATCATCTCCTTTGTTTTGTTGACGTTGAGTGAGAGGTTATTTTCCTGGCACCACACTCCCAGAGCCCTCACCTCCTCCCTGTAGGTGCCTGGGGGTGGCCCGTCAGGAAGTCCAGGACCCAGTTGCACAGGGCGGGGTTCAGACCCAGGGCCTCGAGCTTAATGATGAGCTTGGAGGGTACTATGGTGTTGAATGCTGAGCTATAGTCAATGAACAGCACTCTTACATAGGTATTCCTCTTGTCCAGATGGGATATGCTGGTATGCTGGTGACCAGCTTATGCTGGTGATACAGGTATGCTGGTCACCAGCATACCAGCATAAACTGGTCACCAGCGTACCAGCATATGCTGGTCACCAGCAAAACCAGCATGAAAGTGCTTAATTGTTAGTGATGCTCCAAAGGTTTTGTATAATTTCAGCGAGTAGTTTTGAAAGTAGTGCTCACTAGCCAAAATGGGTCCCCGAAAATGTTGCATAATTGTGTACTATGTCATCCATTTTATATATGTTATGAATTGCAATTTTCTTTTACAAATCCAATTCGTACAATATGTAAAAATTCCGGACTGCATCTTTAAGACAATACATTACATATATCATAAGACCTTACTTTAAGGTCCTAGTTTTTCCCTAATGCAGTGGCCACATCAGGCCTGCAAGTCACATTATGCTGGTTTGCAAAGTGATGTTTAATTCCTATTGGAATCCAGCCAGAGTGGGGATTATTGTAATTTTTATTCACCCACAATCTGCATTCAGAATGACTGCCCGGGTTAGAAAGAAGAATATATGAGACTACCTAAACTATCTAAACTGGAACAACCATTTCAGTAACAGGTGCAATAAATCCAACTAACACATTGGATTAGTTTATAAAAATGTATGTTATTTATCTTTGTGTAGCATAAGATTCATTAATCAATATATGTGCAAAAACACAGACAATGAACAAACAACAAAAAAAATTCTAACTGCAATTGAGCATGCTGGGAAATATAATAATGATGGGTGTGGTTTTGCCAGCTAGACCAGCTTGGTCACTAGCATACCAGCATGATTTGGTCACCAGCATCATCAGCTAGTCGACCAGCCTAACCAGCTAGACCTTGCTGGTCAGACCAGCTCAAGATTATTATAGTAAACATAAACTGAAACTAAAAATAATCATGAAAAAAATACAATTTATTAAAATGAAATTAAATAATTAACAAACCCGTTTTTAAAAACGAAAACTATACTGAAACTATTATCTTTGACTCCAAAATTAACTAAAATAAAAAACCATCATAAATTATGTTCAGTTTTAGTTTTTAAAAAACAAAAACATTTTGGCTAATATCTAACAGGGTTTTCAAGTTTTTTTTCGAATCTGGCAGGTCACATTGAGATTGACTTTATAATTTAAAGGTAGACTCAGCGAGATGACGTTGCCATGAGCAGCACCGCAGATATTGAGATGAGCGTGATGCAAGGCTCTCACACAGAGTATCTGCTCATGTGCACAGGCGCGCTTCACGCTGCTACAATGTTGTAGCTACGGGACCAAAACAGTGGAGAAGTTTAACCTCGCCCTTCAAACACTCCTGGTTGTTGCGGAAATGGACCTACTACTACTGTTTACTTGGTGCATCTACGTCATCTCGCTGTCTACCTTTAAACCTGACCTAACCTATGATCTGACCCATCACCTTATGCATTACTGCCCCACAGTGGCAATAAGTGACATCCCAAAAAACAGAAACTATACAGCAAATAAAATGGCTGCTAGCCTCTCACACAGACTACTTTCTGTCCCTAACACGAAAACAAAATAATATAAAAACAAAATATAAATGTTTTTATAAAACAAACTCAAAGAAGTGGGGATTCCTTACAGAAGTGTAGGTTATAATATATAATAATTATAATATAATATATAATAATATGCCATTTAGCAGACGCTTTTATCCAAAGCGACTTACAGTCATGCGTGCATACATTTTTGTGTATGGGTGGTCCCGGGGATCGAACCCACTACCTTGGCGTTACAAGCGCCGTGCTCTACCAGCTGAGCTACAAGAGACGACTAGTTTTCATGCACCTTTTTTTACTGCACCAAACATCTTTTAAATGTAAAATTGCGAAACTAAGACCTACCAGGCAAAAATGTAAAAATGACAGATTTCTTGATTTATCTTAGATTAATTCAGACTATTTTGGACTATCCTTGCTGTTGTTGCTACGGCCTATCAAGCGGGACAAACAGTAACATCACAGTTTTTAAAAATATTTTCTCATTTTTCAAGCAAAGGTCTTTTAAGGGAGCATGCGATGCAGAGTTCGGCTAAGATCATACTAAACCTAGTATATAAAAAAAGGGTTAGTTGACCAAAGTCACGAAAACGAGGCACAATGACAATCTGCCATGTGGGGAATCGTAGGTGATTCGTTTCAGCTAGTTTTATCTTGTTTTTGATACCATGTCTTGTTTTCAGGTGTTTTGACGGATGTCACGTCTATACTAATATGGCTCAAATTCACTAGCTGGCTAACCAACAACTGTAATGATGTATTTGAGACAAGTGCTCACTGTGAAAATGTATGTTTTCAATAAACATTGTAGACAAAATATAGTTTACATGTTGTCAACAATCCAAGCCAACCCAATCTGTTTTGCCCCATAGTTGCACATGCTTCAGTTTTGTTGCTAAACAACCAACCTGTCTATAACGTCATTGAAATGCATTAATTATCCAAAAAAATAGAAATAGACAAAGACCACAAAGTTGAATAATACACTTTAATCAATTATATACTTTTTTCTTCACATTTTATACTGGAATGTTGTGATTCCCCCTCTGTATTTCTTTACAGTTAAAATGTCCCATCTAGCCATCTTCAAAACCCATTAGCATAAAAATTCTGGGAATACAAACAAAACCTTGAAACAAAACCATATGAAACCACTACATGTTGTCCTTATGATGAAGTGGATTTTAAAGAGCATTCGCTCGTCATGGGAGTAAATGACTGACTGGAGTCATCAGAGGGAGATGGTGTCACTGGCAGCAGAATCCTCCTTGCAATAGGACCACAGTATTCCCTCTATTGATGTTGGTTTGATGACAGAAGGAAGAACACAGAGCTATTATGGACCACAGTATACTGATCGGATCTCCCTTTTCAACAACTGATACGTTTGTAAACAGTAAACGGTGAGCTTGCCATGGAGCTTTTAAATTATTACTTTTCAAGAACTCCTATAGCCACAAATGCAGTGGTTTGCCTTGTGAATTGGCTGTTCTTTTCATGGTTTCATGCTCTCCTTTCCATCTTAACGGTTTCTCAATACCACAGCCAACACCTCAAGCAACATATTCAGATGAATCAATCTAATGAAGAATCCTGCCTTTAGTGGGTAAAACTGATTTCTGGTGAGCCTGCAGTTATGATTTTTTTGTTAAACATGAAAGACCACTTGGGTAGTCCTGCTTTCTTCAAAATCTGGTCCAATGTTTATTGTTCAATGTATAAAAGACCAAATGTCTCTGGTAGAGGATGCATGATTCTTTGGAGGTGGGGATGATTTTAATTACTCAACCTCAAAAGCAGGGAGATGAACCAGCTGAATACTGACCAGCTCCTCAGCAAACACAACAGGGTCATGTTCATTATGCACCAAATGGAAGAAAACTGACTGAATCAGGGAGGGACTACCTGGACTTGTATAATTAGAAAGCTAATTTTAGTTTTCCGCAAATTAGAAATAAATCATTTTTCGTTTTCCGTTCCAAAACTTTGTGAAATATTTTCTGTTGTGTGTCCTAGTGAACACGTCCTTGATGCTTGTCTGTAGCTAGTACCGTTCCCCCCTCAACAAGAGCACCACCCATCTCTCTCCTCTGCTTCCCCTTTAGTCATTGTGTTGTGACTTCCTGCCTCTCCTCGGCGAATAACAGCATGTTTCGCTGCTCGTTAAATTGAACTTTAAATATACTGTAGATCCTTTTCTCGCTCATACAAACATAAATACACCAATAATGCGCTCCGCCGCGGGAAGGGCTTTTGAAGGGCTGAGTCCTGTTGATGTGTACAGTCCCAAATGTTACACAGGCGGGTGTGCAGGCAAGTATGTATTTTCTCTTCTCCGGAGCTTTGACGTAGATTTTTTTACAGGATCTCGTATTTGTCGACGAGGAACGAAGTTTCTAAAGAGAATTTTACTGGTGCGTCTCCTTCTACGTGAGTCACTTTGGCAACCTGAGGGAATAGGAGAAAAAGGCAATGTGACCAGTGAAATGCAGGGATAACAATGTCAGCAAGAGCATTGTGTTCCATCATTGACTGTAGGACTAAATGTCCATAGTAAGCTTCAACGTAAAAAAGCTGAAACTTGCCTGTATGTCGCAGTAACTGCGTTTGGACACGAAGGACACGTTGACGGGGAAGAAGTCGTTGGGTTGCCCGGTGACACTGAACTCCAGGCTGCCGCTTTTGTTTTTGGCATCTATGACGGGTAGGATCCACTCTAGAACGTTCCGTCTGCTGTCGTGCTTATACTCTCCGTCCACATCTCCTACCACAGGTGCCCCAACTCCAGACCTGCACCAGGAAATACACCCAATACTGTAAACAACGCAACCATCAACTTTGGGCTGGTTTACCGGACACAAATGAAGCATAGTCTTAGACTAAAAACTACCTCAATGGAGGAACTCCATTGCACATACTTCTTAGTCCAGGGCTATGTTTAATCTGTCTCTGGGAAACCAGCCAAAAGAGAACCAAGCAAGGTTGTTATACAGTCTCAACACATTACAAGAAAATTCATCACCCATATACTCACGGGATTGGGATAGCAATAACTACATCGTTGAGTTCAAGGCTCTCCTCCTGCAGTTCATACTCAATGTTCACATCGCAGCCAGTAGCACTCTCTGAGGGCCAGCAGTTTACTACAGACAAAACAAGGCGCAATGACATTTAAAAATAGACTATAGTTAACACTAAATAAATCATAAAACATACCACAATAATTCCAGATCACAGATGGTGCCGGTAGGATGACAGGTTGAGAAAGGCATTGGAATGAGACTCACTGGTTAGAGGTATGAGGGCCTCGTCTGTGCTTTGGAGCCTCCACTTCAGTACCCCCACATCGTTGTTGAGGGGGAAAGACTTCTCTGGGTTCTTCAGACCAATCACAGAGTCTGAAGTGAAGAGCTTCTTATCCACGTTGGGATGCGTCTAAATACCAGGGAAAATACAATCAATTCCAACACAGTGGACATACGTTATATCTCTGATATGGGATGAATTGTTACAGAAATCTTCTAATACATTGCGCCGTGTTCAGTAGGAGCACACAGGGAGAAACATTTTGAAATGGTGCTGGGGTTACTAGTCAAATAAGAACACTGGATTCGCAATGTTGTGCCCTACTGAACACCATCCAGGAGTATTTCCAAAAGGTCATGGGTCAGTCTGGATCTGAACAACTCACCTGCAGTTGTACTCCCTTCTTGTCGTAGTTGTTGACCATCAAACGGATGCGGCCGACCTTGTCGTCAGTCACTCTCAGGGTGATCATGCCCAGGAGCTCCATGTTCTGTAGACCGCCGTCACGTCCACAGGTCAGGCTGATCTTCTCCTCAACTCTCATGTGGACACTGAGGAAAACATACACAGGTGTCAAGGTTAAGATTGAGGTTATCATCACACACATTGCAATCACACATGGGAATTATGTCAATAGTAAAGCACATGCACAGACATTGAATGGAAGATAAAGACAGATGCATAAACTTGGCTTACTATCAAAAATGAAAATTTTAAAACAAGAATAATGTACCTCTCCACATTAACTGGTGGTGGTAGGACATTGGATGCAAGCGAAGGCCTTTTCCCTGTGTTGGACGTGATGGTTTCCCCCTCCCCCCTGAGCTTGTCCACAAAGTTGTCCACCTCTTTCCCCCTGGCGCCGAGCTTGAGGGCTTTGCTGGATCCGGTCGGCCTGTGGGAGACACACGATCGTCAGTACCAGCCTCTGTATCTGTGGCCCAGAGTTTTTCATGGTCAGTTCAAATAAAAAAATTTTATTGGCCACATGCGCCGAACACAACAGGTGCAGACATTACAGTGAAATGCTTACTTACAGCCCTTAACCAACAGTGCATTTATTTTTAATTAAAAAGTAGAATAAAACAACAAAAAAGTGTTGAGAAAAAAAGAGCAGAAGTAAAATAAAATAACAGTAGGGAAGCTATATATACAGGGGGGTACCGGTGCAGAGTCAATGTGCGGCGGCACCGGCTAGTTGAAGTAATATGTACATGTGGGTAGTTAAAGTGACTATGCATAAATAATTAACAGAGTAGCAGCAACATAAAAAGATGGGGTGGGGGGGCAGTGCAAATAGTCCGGGTAGCCATGATTAGCTGTTCAGGGGTTTTATGGCTTGGGGGTAGAAGCTGTTGAGAAGTCTTTTGGACCTAGACTTGGCACTCCGGTACCGCTTGCCGTGCGGTAGCAGAGAGAACAGTCTATGACTAGGGTGGCTGGAGTCTTTGACAATTCTGAGGGCCTTCCTCTGACACCGCCTGGTATAGAGGTCCTGGATGGCAGGAAGCTTGGCCCCAGTGATGTACTGGGCCGTACGCACTACCCTCTGTAGTGCCTTGCGGTCGGAGGCCAAGCAGTTGCCATACCAGGCGGTGATGCAACCAGTCAGGATGCTCTCGATGGTGCAGCTGTATAATTTTTTGAAATCTTTTCAGTCTCCTGAGGGGGAATAGGCTTTGTCGTGCCCTCTTCATGACTGTCTTGGTGTGTTTGGACCATGATAGTTCGTTGGTGATGTGGACACCAAGGAACTTGAAGCTCTCAACCTGTTCCACTACAGCCCCGTCGATAAGAATGGGGGCGTGCTCAGTCCTCGTTTTTTTCCTGTAGTCCACAATCATCTCCTTTTCTTGGTCACGTTGAGGGAGAGGTTGTTATCCTGGCACCACACGGCCAGGTCTCTGACCTCCTCCCTATAGGCTGTCTCATCGTTGTCGGTGATCAGGCCTACCACTGTTGTGTCGTCGGCACAGGGTGGGAAATCAACACCCGCTAAATGCGGGTAGAATTTGGGGCATTGACTGGAAATCATTTATTTCACCAGCCACATTGGTGGATGGTTACACAAAGCATTTGGGAACAGTTTTTTTCAATCCAAAGTCCCAAATGTAGAAGTTGGTCGAATTGACGAAAGGCTACTAAAGTGTGACTTTGTCCTCATGTTTCTTGTCTAGTTACATCGTTTTGTTCACACGCTAGGTTGTCATTTCCAATATTATTTAGAGTTTGCTGCAACTGTCTGTTGCTAGCGCAGAAATTCTCAATCTTCTCTGACAGACGCTGAGTGCAGTTACCACGGTAATGGCCCCCCTTAAAGGAGCAGCTGAACATTTGTCTCACCTAATGACTCAAATATTTCAGGGTACATTGTGCTTGATTGAGCATGGAACACTCCAAAAACATTTTATTCATAAACTTTTAGTAATGTCTTATCATTAAAACACTCGCATATTTTAATTGTGCTCTCATAAATATCAACTTATGTACTCCTTGTAAAAAATGTCAGTGTTTGAGCCCTGAACTAATAATAATAATAAATAAGTCGTATCACTCGGCATTTTGTGACAGGGCAGGCACTTTGTTGATTCTTAATGTTGAGTTGTAGAACTGTTTAACTATTGTAACTAAATGATTGCTTTTAACATACATTAGTTAAAAGACTCAGGTCACAAAAATGAAATTGAATGGAGCAATACCACATTACTTCTTACTACTAACACATTTCTTGTTTTAGAAACATTACAAAGCATGCTCAGCCTTCGTGATTTTTGGTGTAATTATGGCAACAAAAAAATGTGCCTGGCGCAGTGGCTGTTGGACCAAAAAGTTAATTTCCCACCCTGGTCACGTTATCAGGAGAAACTCTGGGCCCTATCTGCCAATCACTGTGTATTGGAGCACAGTCTAAGACAATTATACACACAATCAAATTCAACACCTAAATTCCATCATTTCTGTACCTGACTGGGACGGGAGCCATCTTGGGTTTCTCGGGTTCGATGATGGTGTCTATGATGATGGACCCTGAGGACATGCTGCTCATCCCGGCGCTGCCGAAGCCGCCGAAGGCCGGCACCTTCTTCCCCGAGCGCTCTGCGTCTCGCCTGATCTGCTGCAGCTCTTTGGCCTTTCGCCGCATCTCTGCCTTGGCCTCTCGCTCCTGGGTCTGTGGGGCCGAGCAGATGAGGGAAAAACGTTCAAATCATGGTTACTATAAGCTAATGTCACACACACGTCTTCTGGACGTTATGGGCATTTTAGCTACAAGTGTCTCACCTCTCTGACTGCCCGGAACACCTTCTCCTCGTGAGAGTCCATCTCAGTGAAGGTGCGGATCTGGGCCAGGTTGACGTTCTCCCTGTAGCCCAGGGCCACGATTTCGTCGAAGGCGAATATCAGGTCGAAACAGTGGTCTGAGATCTCCCCTTCCTCCAGCACACGGCAGTACTCTGGGATCTGAAAAGAGAAAAACACAACTGAATGCTTCAATATCAAACCAACAGTCATAATACCTTTCTAGTTTACAGTGGGATATGATCCCATTTGAAGTTAATGGTGGGATGGATGAATTTTGAACTCGTAAGCGGCAGTGGGCTGTTACAGCGTAGGGTTATCCCCTGTGCTGCTCCCAGCCTGTCGTGTTTGTGGGTATGTTGTGTGGTGGGTCCTGGATAGTATGACCGCAAAATGAACAATTTCCATTGTCTCTGTGTAATGGATCAATAAAGATGTGTTGGATCGTATCATACCACACGTGAGAAGAGCCGTAGTGTCTCCAGGTCTTCCAGGATGTTACTGTTCTTGGTGGTGATCAGCACCATGTAGAGCTTCTCCAAGGGCTGGTAGACGTAGCGCACGCTCTCCGTCTCCACAAACGTGTGCTGCTTGCCCAAGCCCATGAGCTTGGGGAAGGCAGCCAGGAGGCCCTCAACACGCGTCCGGGTCATCTCCACAAACTGCCGTGACACGATGGCTTTGCCTGCCTTGGTGCACACCGCCGCTGCCAAAAGCACCTGCAGGGAGCAGAGAGAATCACAAACATTCGTTCATAAGTGGGATGTCTTCATTAATGATGACAGAGTGATAGACAGGGTAACCATAAGTGGTACAAATATGTTGGCCAAGAAAGGTAGTTATGTGCCAATTTACTTAGAAAGCAGATTCCGACCCTACCGTTGCGCTGGTTTACACTGAGCTGCGCTGGGGTAAGAAAGCAATTGTGGTTAAATTAAGACACTGTGGAGCCAGCTCAAGATATGATCCGGAAAACATACCTCAATGCAGGGACGGGATATGCCACTGCTAGTTAGCATGAGGACAAATGGGCAGTTTTCCAGGAAAAATTGCAGTATTTCAATTTTCTTGATGTATCAGTGTGGAAAGGTACAATTTGGAGTACAGTGGCATATCCCATCCCTGCATTGAGGTACGTTTTCTGACCCATATCTCACCCAAGCGCAATGGTGTCTTAATGTAACCAGGATTGCGTTCTGACCCCAGTACAGCTCAAGTACAGCTCAGTGTGTAAACAAGTGTAAAGGTAGGGTCGGAATATGCTGCCTACAATTTACTATAGGTGAACAGTCCCCTTCAGTCACTTACCATCACAGAATACCAGGAGCAAGGCATGATAACGTATTGATCCAAACGACTTAATTTACTAGATTACCTTGTGCAAATCAATGACACTGTCAAACAGCCACGATCCATTGGTTGACATATCTTGATAATTAGCTAGCTAGTTAGTTAACTAGCCTAGTAAGGCCAAGTATTTAACGTTACCAGCCAACATAGCTTAACACAGTTAGCAGACAGCCAACAGTAGACAACCTGTGAAATGCAAATATCGATCTAGCTAACTTAGTTAAATTGTAGCTAGCTTGCTACCTAGTTAGCTAGTAAATTTAGCCAGCTAGCGTTAGCTAACTGAACTGACACCAAGCACTAGTAGCTGACATTTGTGGTAACGTTAAGTTACCTAGTTAACTTAGCTAGCTTACTAACGTCGATACGTTACATACATAGCTGCTAAGTAATAGTAGCATTACATAGTTAAGTTAGCTAATAACCTTGACTGGCTACCTTTGGTTGTTTGGCAAGTGAAGTTTGATTTGTTTTTTAATTTCATTGTGCCAAGGCGGGGCTAGCTAATGATAGCAAGCTAATGTTTGTTGTCATGATCAAGCTAAAGCGGAAAAGATAAAGCCTTGACATGTGTCTCTGTGCTCACCATTTTTGGTCTCTATTTAGGAAAACGATCTTCAATCTCCGATGGTGTTTGCTCAGTCGAGTTCCAGTATATCTAAAGCGCCTTTAGAACGAAAATATAGTTGGATAGCTAGCTAAGCTGTTTGTTGCTAGTAGTGCTTCACCGTGGGTTGCTTCAATATGGCAGCTAGGCAGAGCCACGTCTCCAACCAGAGGAGTTGCTTCCTTGATAAACCACTCGCTCGCTTTGTCGTGGAAAAACTTCACAACGTCAAATGTTGCGCGATGTGTGCTTGAACCATAGAGATAGATCACAGATAGAACAATGAGACAGATATTTCACCGGATGTATAAATGTGAAGCATCCGCTTGGCATTTCCACTCACTACCAAATATTTGATCTACCAAATTTGGTAGTGACAGGAAGCCAACTGGCCAGCAGTGGGAGAAGATGGAACGAGATGGATTTTGGCCGAGATTCTGCACATTTTCTCATCGATGAAACATTTGATCTCAATACAGTTTTCTGTTCCCAAAACTAGAATATGTTATGAACAGAGTGAACTAAGTTTTGTAGACTTTACACTTTACAAACGTTTTTTAAAATCGCGTTGTTTAGAAGGAGCGCAAAGGCGAATTGAGTTATTGCACATGCGCACTTCACAGAGTAAGCCTTCCCTAACGGAAATATAGGATCTCGCTAGCTCGTACTTGGCTCTGCCCACTTCTTTGCGTGTTCTGCCCACTATGACTCACTTGTTCCCATTGGAAACGACAGGCTGTGGTCTATTTCGGTTTAGTTATAAAACCTTTTGGATAGATACTCTTCTTTGGAATTTGGTTGGCGGATCGCATCCAACTTTTAGGTTCATACACCGCCACCTAGTGTACTGGTGTGTGAGGCCATTCACGGCCTACCTACATTACATTATTTGATGCGGTAATACAAAGTTGGGAAAAAGTTAAATTGCCCTGCCAACTATTAGCACTCTCTAAATAATCCACCACTGCATTCCATTACTTAACCATATCTAGTCCTATTCCAGACCCATGGTCTGAGAGTACATAACACTATTACTCAACACCCCCTGCAGCTGTATTGCAGTAAATCCTCGCAATCCCAAGTACTTCTCTGCCACCACAACCTCTATTTTCTGTGACTTTCGATCCATTTCTGCAATACAATTGACAGCCATGGCTATAATGCTAAAAAGCCCACCTTACTGAAGCACATATTATTCCCATCACTCTCTCTTGGTCTTTGCCTACTCACACAAATCCTCTCAGGATCCCTCACACTGTACCCATCTTTCTCTACCACTCTCTTCACTGCTTCGGCATAAGACACTTTCTGTACTACTCTAACCCTGGCTACCTCAATCTGCCTTTCTCTCACCGGACACCTCTGATCTCCAGCCCCATGGGCACCCCCAAAACTAACACATACTGTATAACTTTCTCCACTGATACCACACATTCCTTCATCTCATGCCCTCCGGCACACTTCTCACATCTAGGCATCTCCCTCCTACACACTGCTGCAACATGCCCATAAACTTGACACCTAAAACACCGTAGTGTTGTCGGAACAAAAACTCTCACGGGACAACTGACACTTCCTACCTTGACATAATCAACACTTAATGCAACCCCGTTATCACTCCTTTCAACAGCACCCTGATCCGAAGAGCAAAGCAAGTCACAATTCTTGTCCCTAATCGTGTCATCCGGAGTGCCCGCTCCCTCTGGGCGGAGGAAACACAATAAATCATCACGAGTCCACTCCGAGTTACCTTCACCAACCTCTTCTCCACTCAACCTGACACCACATATGGATCAGCCAAAATGCAAGGATCCATTCTCTCTATAAATCTCACTCCCACTGGGCCAGAATCATCCTTATCATCCTCGGGACGAGGCCTGAACTCGGCGGTCCTCACCGCAGGTACTTCCTCCTCACTCTCGCCAGGTTCCATCTCTGAACTACTGGAGCATGTATCCCTCTTTTTGCACTTGACGCCAACCTCCCTCACCACACTGCTTTCCTCGACACTCAACTTCTTCTCAGCAGTCATCACTGCACCTGCCACCACAGTTAATTCATCCTCACTCTCGTCACGTTCAATTTACTCCTCAAGCTCTTCCAAAAGTTCTATGAGATCTTCCATTCCATATTCACTCTAAACATATTCCACTTTTCTCCTTTTTTTCCTATCCACCATCTTCTCCTTCACCAGATCTTCCAGAAGGCTTGTGCAATCCCCCACTCCATATTTATTCATAATATGTTTTACTTTCTTCCTCTTTTTCTTGTCCGTCATTTTACCGCCTGTCTCAGCTCATCACCATCCCTCCCTGCCTATTCGATAGAGGACTTATCTTTGTATCTGTGCCATTATAGCGTCTATGATAGCATGGAAAGGAAAGGGGATACCTAGTCAGTTACACAACTGAATGCATTCAACCGAAATGTGTCTTCCGCATTTAACCCAACCACTCTGAATCAGAGAGGTGCGAGGGGCTGCCTTAATCGACATCCAGGGCAGCGCCATTGAGGCTATCTCCATTTTAAAGTATTCCATTTTCTTCTTCTTGATTGGCTGATTGCTCCCAACTCATAGGAATCACCACCCAGTTGACTACTTTGAATGATGGAAGCCCTCAATGGCAATGTCCATGCTAAAACGGGTTATATCCATCTAATCTATCTCTGGCTTGAACAAGTTTTTGTAAAGAGAAAAAAAACTAGAAATAGGCTAAATAGAAAGTAGCTAGCTCTCCAGTCTTGACCCTTTCTTTTATAGCTCAATGACAATGGTCTCGATAGAAGACAGTGGTCAGCTGCGCACATTTTACTTATAAATTGTCAGTGTACAAAAAAGGCCATTCTTAGTAAGTTGGCTCATTTTCCTAGTGAAATGAACTTTAAATCGATAAAACACCTTAATAAGAAAATCAACAAATAGGGCTGTTTTCAAACGGTTACTGTGTGACCAAGAACACATTTGCAAGTAGCATTTTTAGCTGTTCGTGAACGCAGCCAATGCGCACGGAAGTTAAATGAAATTCCGTGGCGTGACGTCAGAAGGGCACCAGCAGTCGGCACAATTTACCCTAATTAAAATAATAAATAATAATATGCCCTTTTCATCCCTGTTTACAAGGAATTAGATATATTCTCATGGATTGCAGGTCGGGAATAATTGTCACTGACAAAGACAATACTCGCTGATCATTACTGCCACTCTAAGACAATTTCATAACCATTTGGAAAATACCTAAACAAATGATCTTTCTAAAGTCCATCACTACCCCTCCCTGCTCATAATAACTGACACAATGAATCGGCACTCTTGACTTATCAGCTAGGACCAGGGAAATGGGGGTGTAGGAAGTTAAGAGGCATAGTTGTTCAGTATCTGTAGGGCTAGGCTATATGACTTGCCCCTGCTCCCCACATAGACACAGCAGGCTTTCACAGCTCTACAGACGACACAAAGTACTGCTCTGCGTGGAGAAGCTAAGGTTTACTGAGAACTATGGAGGGACCTTATAAGTACATCAGGGTAAGAGGAAAGCAATTTAAGCAGAGTTTATATATATTTTATTATATGGAGCAGTTAAATGTGGCTTACAGTGAAAGGAGTTGACATAATACGAAGGGAATAACTGCCATGAACTGCAACTACAAGTAGAAAAAAAAAAACATTATTGGAAAAATGGCTGTTGTAATGTATTGCTTTCATGTTTTTCCAACAGGATGGGAATGGGAAAGTTAGCCGGGTCATACGAATTGGAACCCGAAAGAGCCAGGTAAGATACCTTTGGTGGTTGAGTGGAACCAAATAGCTTTTTTTTTTTTTTTTTAAGGTAATGTCATTTCACACTAACTATTTTTCCAGTGTCAGTGAAACTACTGTAGAGTTAAAATTTTGAATGGCGAAACAGCTTAAGCTTTTGAATGGGGGGCACAGAGCGTGGCAACTCCTTATCAGATAAGGTTCCCCTCTCTGTTCCCTCAGATACAGCAGTCAGGGACTTCTGCACCTCCTGCAACAGAGATAGTTTGTTCACTGCTTCAGTAATGTCTAGCCTTTTGCTACAGCTTCTTATGCTCATGTCCCACTGATTTGGTGACGCACGGCTGAATATTTGCTTCTTGAATATTATATTCAATATTATCCAAGAAGTGAACTAGCTAGAAACCAACCATCCAAAATGCAGACACACAAATTATGTAATCCAAATTGAATTGATTTCTGTTAATTTGTTGACCTCAGCTGGCTCGTATTCAGACGGACAGCATTGCAGAAAAGCTGAAGGGACTGTACCCCGATGTCCACTTAGAAATAGGTGAGTCCAGGTGTCCCGCAATACACTATTATAAAAAAAGGTGCTATCTAGAACCTAAAAGGGTTCTTTGGCGGTCCGCATAGGAGAACCCTTTGAAGAACCCTTTTGTGTTCCATGTAGAAGCCTTTCCACAGAGGACTCTACTTGGAAACCAAAAGAGTTCTACTTAGAACCCAGAAGGGTTCTATCTGGAACCAATAAGGGTTCTCCTATGGGGACAGCCGAAGAACCCTTTTGGAACCATTTTTTCTAAAGAGTGTATGAAAAAAAGGTTTTATACAGGTAACTGCCAAAATAAAGGAAACACTTGAGTAAATGAAGGACACAAAGTACAATGAAAGCAGGTGCTTCCACATATATGTGTTTCCTGAGTTAATTAAGCAATTAACATCCCATCATGCTTAGGGTCATGTATAAAAAGGCTGGGCAGGCCATTATTTGGGCAATGGTTGGGCTTCCATGGCTATGCCGCCATAGGATAACAGTGCCCCCATCCACAGGGCAGAGTGGTCACTGAATGGTTTGATGAGCATGAATACGATGTAAACCATATGCCATGGCCGTCTCAGTCACCAGATCTCATCCCAATCTAAGAGTTATGGGAGATTCTGGAGCGGCGCTTGAGACAGCGTTTTATACCACCATCAACAAAACACTAAATTATGGAATTTCTTGTGGAAGAATGGTGTTGCATCCCTCCAATAGAGTTCCAGACACTTGTAGAATCTATGCCAAGGTGCATTGAAGCTGTTCTGGCTCGTGCTGGCCCAACACCCTATTAAGACACTTTATGTTGGTGTTTCCTTTATTTTTGCAGTTACCTGTATGTTCTGTTACTTATAGTGCAGTAATCCATGACTATGGAGATGCATCACCAATAAGATATGTACAATACATTAATTAAATGACTATATCACTTTGAATATGTCCTTGTCTTTCTGTTTCAGTTGGCATGACAACAACAGGGGACAAAATCCTTGACACAGCATTATCAAAGGTAAATCTGTTTATATACTAAAGCGTGCCTCATGAGAACTAAATTGTTCCCAAATTGTTCATTTTACTGGACTCAGTAGTGTGCAAAAAACACTGGCATGAGAATATACAGTATTTTCTCCATTGTGTACATATAAACTTATGGTCTGAACTGAAAATGTTATGGGGTTAACAGTTAGTAACCTATTTGCTTTCTAAATGCAGATTGGAGAGAAGAGCCTTTTCACCAAAGAACTGGAGACTGCTCTGGAGAGGAACGAGTAAGTCTAATTTTGTCATCGGGAGCTGGCGTTTCAGCTGGATCCACTTGTCAGGCTTGGGTGTTGTCAAGAAAAATGTTGTTGTCAAAAAAATTGTGATTATAGTGGTCTCTTGTGTGTGAATAAACCTTGTAATAGACAGTCGCTAGTGAAGGTCTACACAACCCTTGTACAGTCTTCACATTTTGCTGCCTTAAAATGTAATCACAAATGGGAATACATTTGATTTATTTCCTATCGATCTACACAACCTACTCCAAATTTTCAATGTTAAAGAAATATAAGAGAAAATTTTCAAAATTAATTTAAAAAATGTTGATGTATTGATTGCGTATGTCTTCACACCCCAGAGTTAACACTTGTTGGAAGCACCTTTGTTAGCCATTACAGCTGTGAATCATTTATATACGATTCTACCAACTTTGCACAACTCTAAGGGCAACATTTATTAATTGTTTTTGTCAAAATGGCTCAAGCTCAGTAAATTTGGGTGGGAGTCATTGATGGACAGCAATATTCAATCCTTGTCTCTGATTTTCAAGCAAATTCAAGTCAGGACTGAGGCTGGACCACTCATGAATACGCACCTCTTGAAAAGCCATTCTGGTGTGTCTTTGACAAAAAATTGTGTGTTTGTCCCGCTGAAGAATTAAACTCTATCCCTTGGTTAGCTTTTCAGAAGACTGAGGCGGGTCTTCCTCTAACTTTTTACCTGGGCTTTGCTCCTTTCATATTTTATTTTATCCTGACAAACTCCTCAGTCCCTGCTGGTGACAAGCATACCCATAACATGATGCTGCCACCACAATGCTTGACTCTGTGTTGTGTTTGTATTGGATTTGACCCAAGCCTGTAGTTTTTAATTTAGGCCAAAAAGTCCATTTCTTTGCAGTGTTATCTTGCAGTATTACTTCACAGCCTTGTTGCAAACAGAATGGATGATTTGGAGTGGCTTTTCTAAAATAGGCTTCATTATTTTCACTTTGTCATACAGGTTAGTAATGTGGAGTGAATACAATGTTGTTAATTATATGTGTTTTCGAGTATTGTAGTGGCAGCATCAGGTTATGGGTATGCTTGTCACCGGCAGGGACTGGGGAGTTTTTCAGGATAAAACAAATATGAAAGGGGCCTCCTGAGTGGAGCAGCGGTCTAAGGCACTGCATCACAGTGCTAGAGGCGTCACTACAGACCTGGGTTCGATCCTGGGCTGTATCACAACCGGCCATGATCGGGAGTCCCATAGGGCGGAGCACAATTGACCCAGCATCGTCCGGGTAGGGGAGGGTTTGGCCGGGGGGCTTTACTTGGCTCATCGCGCTCTTGCGACTCCGTGTGGTGGGCCGGTGCCTGCAGGATGACCTCGGTCGTCAGGTGAACGGCGTTTCCTCCGACACATTGGTGCGGCTGGCTACCTGGTTAAGCGGGCGGGTGTTAAGAAGCGCGGTTTGGCGGGTCATGTTTTGGAGGACGCATGACTCGACCTTCACCTCCCAAGCCCGTTGGGGAGTTGCAGCGATGAGACAAGATCGAAAAAGGGGGTAAAATACAAAAAGTATATTCATATATGAAAGTTCTCACATATAAAGTTACACGAAACCCTGCCTCAGGCTTCTGAATACCTAAACCTGGGATAGAGTTTTAGTTTTCAGCGGGACAGTAAACAAATTGTAATGCCAAGCACACATCAGAATGGCTTTACAATAGGTGTTGAGTGTTCCTGAATGGTCCAGTCTCAGTCCTGACTTAAATCTGCTTGAAAATCTGAGACAAGGTTTGAATATTGCTGTCCATCAATGACTCCCAACCAAATGTACTGAGCTTGAGACATTTTGACAAAATCTATGGCTAAATGTTGCCCTTAGAGTTTTGCAAAATGTGTAGAATCTGATTCAAATTGTTTCACAGCTGTAATGACTACCAAAGGTGCTTCCACCAAGTATTAACTCTGGGCTGTAAAGACATACGCAATCAAGACATCTTTATTTTTTATTTTTCATTAATTTGGAAAATATTCTATAACTTTCTTTCACTTCGGAAATGTGGAGTTGGTTGTGTAGATCAGTAGGAAAAAAATCAAATGTAATCAATTTTCATTTAAAGGCAGCAAAATGTGGAGACTGTGCAAGGGGTGAGTAGACACTCACTAGGCACTGTACATTCAAACTGTAGGCTACATTACTATCAGCCCTAATCTGGAAAGCTACTACTGTTGACGTACTTCCTTTATTACAATGTAATGGCATACATGTTGAGTAGCTTCAAAACTTCAGACAAAACCATTGATGTCTTCAAGACTTTGATCTGTGCAGGTGTTTATGTCCAGAGTCTTCGCTCTGAAGTGTTGCTAAATAAATGACTCTGTTGTGTTGTGTCTCCTATAGGGTAGACTTGGTGGTCCACTCATTGAAGGACTTGCCCACAACTCTACCTCCTGGCTTTACCATAGGAGCTGTGCTAAAGTAAGTCGACACAATAGTGCCTCTGTAAGGATCCACAGAGAAATCAAACACACTGTCCTAATTCATTTGGGACTCTTTTGTTGGTGTTCAAACCTTTGAACATACTGATTTGGTGTGAAACACTATCAGTTTTACTCACATATTGTAATATATTTAAAGATCTTTCTTTCAAAGTTTTTACAGGTTCCTACACATAGATTTAATTGATAATGTAGATTTGAAATCATGATCTAGCTAGCCAGCTATGTGTATATACATTTATTTTGAATACTCCAAGCGCACTAGAGTGAATCACTATCTGAATATCGACTCCGATATTTTCATGGTAAATCGTTTTTTTGCTTCCTATTCTTTTAAGGCGGGAGAACCCCCATGACGCAGTGGTCTTGCATCCCAAAAACATGGGAAAATCCCTCGACACCCTGCCCGACAAGAGGTACGAAACACAGTTGAATTTTACTCATGACATTGTTTGAAGATTATTTTCCATTCTGTTTCAAAGGAGTGGCTCGACATTGATCTTGATGGGTTTTCTTCATAGTGTGATAGGCACAAGTTCCCTGCGACGGGCTGCTCAGCTAAAGAAAAGATTCCCCCACCTGGAGTTTAAAGATATTGTATCCTTTCTCTCACTGCTACTTTCTCTCACTGCCACTCACAGTATAGCGAAAGATCAAAACAGAATCTTTATTTTGAATCTGATGCACATCATATCAGTAATGAATACATCTATAGAGAGTTGTGAGTTTGTTTCCTTAGTGTGTTTTTTCCAGCGAGGAAACCTCAACACAAGGTTGAAGAAGCTGGATGAAAAGGACGACTTCTCTGCCATTATTCTGGCTGCAGCTGGACTCTGTCGCATGGGCTGGGAGAGCCGAGTCAGCCAGGTAGCTACATCCAACACTCCACATTACAACACCTTGTCCATACCATAGAGATAAATCAAGATTCATCTTAATTCATCAAGATTAAATTGTATGTGTTTTTTAGACAATATGTAAGCCTACTGTATACGGTGCCTTCGGAAAGTATTCAGACCCCTTTACTTTTTCCACATTTTGTTACGTTACAACCTTATTCTGAATTATTATTTTTTTTTTATCTCAGCAATCTACACAGAATACCCAATGCGAAAACAGGTTTTTAGAAATGTGTGTAAATTCATTGAAAATAAAAAACAGAAATACCTTATTTACATAAGTATTCAGACCCTATGCTATGAGACTCGAAATTGAGCTCAGGTGCATCCTGTTTCCATTGATCATCCTTGAGATGTTTCTACAACTTGATTGGAGTCCACCTGTGGGAAATTCAATTGATTGGACATGATTTGGAAAGGCACACACCTGTCTATATTCTGGTCCCACAGTTGACAGTGCATGTCAGAGTAAAAACCAAGCCTTGAGGTCGAAGGAATTGTCCGTAGAGCTCCGAGACAGGATTGTGTCGAGGCACAGATCTGGGGAAGGGTACCAAAACATTTCTGCAGCATTGAAGGTCCCCAAGAACACAGTGGCCTCCATCATCCTTAAATGGAAGAAGTTTGTAACCACCAAGACTCTTCCTAGTGCTGGCCAAACTGAGCAATCGGGGGAGTAGGGCCTTGGTCAGGGAGGTGACCAAGAACCCGATGGTCACTCTGACAGAGCTCCAGAGTTCCTCTGTGGAGATGGGAGAACCTTCCAGAAGGACAACCATCTCTGCAGCACTCCACCAATCAGGCCTTTATGGTAGAGTGGCCGGACGGAAGCCACTCCTCAGTAAAAAGCACATGATAGCCCGCTTGGAGTTTGCCAAAAGGCACCTAAAGACTCTCAGACCATGAGAAACAAGATTCTCTGGTCTGATGAAACCAAGATTGAACTCTTTGGCCTGAATGCAAAGCGTCACGTCTGGAGGAAACCTGGCACCATCCCTACGGTGAAGCATGGTGGTGGCAGCATCATGCTGTGGGGATGATTTTCAGTGGCAAGGACTGGGAGACTAGTCAGGATCGAGGGAAAGATGAATGGCACAAAGTACAGAGAGATCCTTGATGAAAACCTGCTCCAGAGCGCTCAGGACCTCAGACTGGGGCGAAGGTTCACCTTCCAACACTACAACGACCCTAAGCACACAGCCAAGACAACGCAGAAGTGGCTTCGGGACAAGTCTCTGAATGTCCTTGAGTGGCCCAGCCAAAGCCCAGACTTGAACCCGATCTAACATCTCTGGAGAGACCTGAAAATAGCTGTGCAGCGACACTCCTCATCCAACCTGACAGAGCTTGAGAGAATCTGCAGAGAGGAATGGGAGAAACTCCCCAAATACACGTGCCAAGCTTGTAGCGTCATACCCAAGAAGACTCAAGGCTGTAATCACTGCCAAAAGTGTTTCAACAAAGTACTGAGTAAAGGGTCTGAATACTTATGTAAATGTGGTATTTCAGTTAAATAAATAAACATTTTGCTAAAATTTCTAAAAACCAGTTTTTGCTTCGTCATTATGGGGTATTGTGTGTAGATTTGATGAGGGGAAAAAAACAATTTTAACATTTTTAGAATAATGCTGTAATGTAACAAAATGTGGAAAAAGTGAAGGGCTCTGAATATTTTCCAAATGCACTGTATCTTTAATTTGTGTCTTTGCATTTGCAGATCCTGGGCCCTGAGGACTGTATGTACGCTGTTGGACAGGTGGGTAGATGTATTTTATGAAGGAAAAATTGGCAACTTTAACTCTTATACCTGTGGTCCCTTATTCCATTGTGTAATAACAAAAAACGCTAAACAGTTGTTAAAACTGAATATTTTACCCTGAAAGGGTATATCAGAGTTAATAACCCATTATCACCAGGCCTTCGGCCAAGACCCCTTTTGGCACTGTATATGTGAGGATTAGAATTTTCAGCGTGGTCTTAACTGACTGAGGGTCCATTGCTTGGCTGTGTTCCAGGGGGCTCTTGCCATTGAGGTGCGGGCCAGAGACAAGGACATCCTGGAGATGGTGTCTGTTCTGCACGACCCCAACACGGTCCTGCGCTGTATAGCAGAGCGAGCCTTCCTCAGACGACTGGCAAGTCTCACTCTGTCTCGTAGATGTTTTATTATAGTGTGTCCACTGTATCTGTGAATTGTTGGCTGCTAGTGCATTGTCGATGCTACTTAATATAGATACTCATAAAGGACCAGTTTCCCAGACACAGATTAGCCTAGGCCTAGTCCTGGACTAGAAAGCATGCTCAATGGAGAATCACCATTGAAAGGGCTTTTTAGTCTAGGACGAGGCTTAATCTTTGTCTGGGAATCCGGCCTTTGAGGTACAATTGCAAGTGAAAGTAGAAGACGTTACAGTAAAAAAATATAAATAATGTTAGGCTTCATAACTATGTCACATAAACAGTACTTAAAGGGGCAATCCGGAATTGAAACAATCACAAAGCATTCACCCCACCTTTATTTTGGTAAAAGGCTGAGGGATGGGTCTGGAGAAATGTAACCACTCACAAATTCGTAGACAGAGCTATGAATGCAAGGACTGACCATCTAAGATTTAAAAATTATAGTTTTAAGCATGTTTGGAGGCAAGCTTATATTTTGTGTTCTGATGGGGTACGACAGTTGAACTAAGCTCATGAGGCATTTATAAGTTATAGTCCTCGAGAATCAATGGGTATAAATCATTACAGTACATCAGTATACCAGTACATCACTGGGGCAGAGCACCCTGCCATTCAGGATCTCTATACCAGGCGGTGTTAGAGGCCACCCAAGTCATAAACTGTTCACTCTGCTACCGCACGGCAAATGGTACCGATGCACCAAGTCTGGAACCAACAGGACCCTGAACAGCTTCTACCCCCAAGCCATAAGACTGCTAAATAAACTGAACAAAAATATAAACGCAACATGTGATGTGTTGGTCCCATGTTTCATGAGCTGAAAAAAAAATCCCTGAAATTTTCCATACGCACAAAACGCTTATTTAGCTCAAATTTTGTGCACAAATTTTGTTTACATCCCTGTTAGTGAGCATTTCTCGTTTGCCAAGATAATCCATCCACAGTATGATCATTATACAGGTGCACCTTGTGCTGGGGACAGTAAAAGGCCAATTTAAAATGTGCGGTTTTGTCACACAACACAATGCCACAGATGTCTCAAGTTTTGAGGGAGCGTGCAATTGGCATGCTGACTGCAGGAATGTCCACCAGAGCTGTTGCCAGATAATTTAATGTTAATTTCTCTACCATAAGCTGCCTCTAACGTTGTTTTAGAGAATTTGGCAGTACGTCCTACCGGCCTCACAACCGCAGACCACGTGTAACCACGCCAGCCCAGGACCTCCACATTCTGATTGGCTGGGCCTGGCTCCCCAGTGGGTGGGCCTGGCTGCCAAGTGGGTGGGCCTATGCCCTGCAAGGCCCACCCATGGCTGCACCCCTGCGCAGTCATGTAAAATTCATACATTAGGGCCTAATGAATTTATTTAAATTGACTGATATCCTTATATGAACTGTAACTCAGTAAAATCTTTGAAATTGTTGCATGTTACATTTATATTTATGTTCAGTATAGTTAGTCCAGGTAGCTATTGGTTAACTATTTAACTATCTGCTTTGACCCTTTTTTTGGCTCATAACATACGCTGCTGCTGCTGTTTATTATCTGTCCTGTTGAATAATCACTTTATTCCTAGTTAAACAGTATGTACATATCTACTTCAATTACCTCATACCCCTGCACATCGACTCGGTACTGGTACCAAGTGTATATAGCCAAGTTATCATTACTCATTGTGTATTTATTATTACTTTTATTATTACGTGGTATTACTTTTCTATTATTTCTCTATTTTATTTTCTCTGCATTGTTGGGAAGGGCCCATAAGTAAGCATTTCACTGTTAGTCTACACCTGTTGTTTACGAAGCATGTGACGAATACCATTAAAAAAATTATGCAGCAACTGCAGATTACCCCCTTTAACCAATTGTCTATATTTTCTTGTATGTCCCATTATATTTGACTGTCTACACTCCAGTGTAATCACTTTCGCTTGTTGTAGGAGGGGGGTTGCAGTGTACCAGTTGCTGTCCACACTGAAGTCAAGGATTCTCAGGTAAGGGCTTATGACATTTGCTAACGTGTGCGTGTGTGTCATTGCATATCCATGGTTGCGTACCTGCGTGAATGTTTTTGTAACTGTTGTGTTCTATTAACCCCAGCTCTACCTGACGGGTGCAGTGTACAGCCTGGATGGTTCAGACAGTCTCAAGGAGACCATGCAGACCGGCATTGCTTCAGACAATAAGGTCAGACTACTGATTTCTAACTCCCAGTCAGAACACAAGTGAACTCTTCTCATTAAACATATCAGCTCACCTTCTCAGGGCATATTTATTTGGTTTATTTAAACAGTTTTTCCTCTGTGGTAGGTGGAAGAGCAAGTGGATGAGGGGGTCCAGCGTGCTGGCATCACAGCGAACAATATGCCAGGCCCGGCCCAGGATGCTTCTGAGAAGCTTGGTCTAGACCTGGCCAATCTACTGCTGAGTAAAGGGGCTAAGGAGATCCTTACCGTGGCCAGGCAGCTCAACGATGCACAATAAACTCACTCTATGTGCCCCCAGCTGGGTCTGGAGGTGTAACCTGCACTCACCGGTAGTCCACACTAATATTAAAGCTCACACATGGCTGACTGAGGACTCATGATATTGAATAGCACTGTCAGCACCACCAGACCTGGGTTTGAATAGTATGTGTTTTTATTCAGAGTTTGATTGAGCCTGCTTGGAGTGCCAGAACATTAATGTACAGGTAACTGCCAAAATAATGGAAACACTTGAGTAAATGAGGGAGCAGTACACTGCTCAAAAAAATAAAGGGAACACTAAAATAACACATCCTAGATCTGAATGAATGAAATAATCTTATTAAATACTTTTTTCTTTACATAGTTGAATGTGCTGACAACAAAATCACACAAAAAGTATCAATGGAAATCAAATGTATCAACCCATGGAGGTCTGGATTTGGAGTCACCCTCAAAATTAAAGTGGAAAACCACACTACAGGCTGATCCAACTTTGATGTAATGTCCTTAAAACAAGTCAAAATGAGGCTCAGTAGTGTGTGTGGCCTCCACGTGCCTGTATGACCTCCCTACAATGCCTGGGCATGCTCCTGATGAGGTGGCGGATGGTCTCCTGAGGGATCTCCTCCCAGACCTGGACTAAAGCATCCGCCAACTCCTGGACAGTCTGTGGTGCAACGTGGCGTTGGTGGATGGAGCGAGACATGATGTCCCAGATGTGCTCAATTGGATTCAGGTCTGGGGAACGGGCGGGCCAGTCCATAGCATCAATGCCTTCCTCTTGCAGGAACTGCTGACACACTCCAGCCACATGAGGTCTAGCATTGTCTTGCATTAGGAGGAACCCAGGGCCAACCGCACCAGCATATGGTCTCACAAGGGGTCTGAGGATCTCATCTCGGTACCTAATGGCAGTCAGGCTACCTCTGGCGAGCACATGGAGGGCTGTGCGGCCCCCCAAAGAAATGTCACCCTACACCATGACTGACCCACCGCCAAACCGGTCATGCTGATGGATGTTGCAGGCAGCAGAACGTTCTCCACGGCGTCTCCAGACTCTGTCACGTCTGTCACATGTGCTCAGTGTGAACCTGCTTTCATCTGTGAAGAGCACAGGGCGCCAGTGGCGAATTTGCCAATCTTGGTGTTCTCTGGCAAATGCCAAACGTCCTGCACGGTGTTGGGCTGCAAGCACAACCCCCACCTGTGGACGTCGGGCCCTCATACCACCCTCATGGAGTTTGAGCAGACACATGCACATTTGTGGCCTTCTGGAGGTAATTTTGCAGGGCTCTGGCAGTGCTCCTCCTGCTCCTCCTTGCACAAAGGCGGAGGTAGCAGTCCTGCTGCTGGGTTGTTGCCCTCCTACGGCCTCCTCCACGTCTCCTGATGTACTGGCCTGTCTCCTGGTAGCGCCTCCATGCTCTGGACACTACGCTGACAGACACAGCAAACCTTCTTGCCACAGCTCGCATTGATGTGCCATCCTGGATGAGCTGCACTACCTGAGCCACTTGTGTGGGTTGTAGACTCCGTCTCATGCTACCACTAGAGTGAAAGCACCGCCAGCATTCAAAAGTGACCAAAACATCAGCATAGGAACTGAGAAGTGGTCTGTAGTCACCACCTGCAAAACCACTCCTTTATTGGGGGTGTCTTGCTAATTGCCTATAATTTCCACCTGTTGTCTATTCCATTTGCACAACAGCATGTGAAATGTATTGTCAATCAGTGTTGCTTCCTAAGTGGACAGTTTGATTTCACAGAAGTGTGATTGACTTGGAGTTACATTGTGTTGTTTAAGTGTTCCCTTAATTTTTTTGAGCAGTGTATATTAATATTAAAACTGTTGCTTCCGCAGACGTTTGGTTCCTGAGTTAATTAAGCAATTAGTATCCCATCATGCTTAGGGTCATGTATAAAAATACTGGGCAGGCCATAGGATCACATTTTGGCAGTTACCTGTACACACATATTGAGGGACTCTATTTCTAACTGTTGTTGGGATCATGCTACCTCTTTCATCAACAGAGCTCTGATAATCTTGTTTGATGAATGACGTGTGTGACATATTAGTTAAACAGACCCAGAACATGCAAATTACAGTGACAAACTCTAGCTTATGAGTACTATCAGACCGAGCCCAAGGCCACCGGTCTATAACACCAGAGCGACTATTATTATTATTATTATTATTATTACGTATATATATTTTTATTTCCCTTGATCGATGGAACACTATGTCAAGACAATAAGGAAAGCACTGCATATAAACGGACAATAAACACTGGATGCGGTACAAAAACTAAACTAAATGTTGGATACCTGTGACATTTTCCTTTCAATGTGTTCACATAACTTTAATGTGTTTTGATCCTGGGAGGATTTCTATTGCTTACTTGTTTTGCTATACCAATTTTTAAGAATTTAAAGCAGCGTAAAATAACACCCAACAAATGTGATCTGCATACTTCAAAACAGGGCCTGTATTCATAAATGTCTCAGAGTAGGAGAGTTGATCAGGTACCCCCTGGCCATGTAATCTTAATCATTATGGCAAATCTGATCCTAGATCAGCACTCCTATTCTGAGACGCTTTATGAATACGGGAACAGGTTTGGTATGTTCACTGTGTGTACTTGATCCAGCCTACTACTCAACGACTTCAGAATTGAACAAGTATTCCATAACCATCCCACTAGATATGGCTCATATGGTAACTATACAGTTGAAGTCGGAAGTTTACATACACCTTAGCCAAATACATACTATACAGTTGGGGTCAGAAGTTTACATACACTCAAATAGTATTTGGTAGCGTTGCCTTTAAATTGTAGCCAAGCATCCCCACAGCATGATGCTGCCAACCCCGTGCTTCACGGTTGGGATGGTGTTCGTTGGCTTGCAAGTTACCCCCTTTTTCCTCCAAACATAACGATGGTCATTATGGCCGAACAGTTCTATTTTTGTTTCATCAGACCAGAGGACATTTCTCCATAAAGTACGATCTTTGTCCCCATGTGCAGTTGCAAACTGTAGTCTGGCTTTTTTATGGCGGTTTTGGAGCAGTGGCTTCTTCCTTGCTGAGCGGCCTTTCAGGTTATGTCGATATAGGACTAGTTTTACTGTGGATATAGATGCTTTTGTACCTGTTTCCTCCAGCATCTTCACAAGGTCCTTTGCTGTTGTTCTGGGATTGATTTGCGCTTTTCGCACCAAAGTACGTTCATCTCTAGGAGACAGAACGCGTCTCCTTCCTGAGCGGTATGATGGCTGCATGGTCCCATGGTGTTTATACTTGCGTACTATTGTTTGTACAGATGAACGTGGTACCTTCAGGCGTTTGGAAATTGCTCCCAAGGATGAACCAGACTTGTGGAGGTCTACAATTTATTTTCTGAGGTCTTGGCTGATGTCTTTTGATTTTCCCATGATGTCAAGCAAAGAGGCACTGAGTTTGAAGGTAGGCCTTGAAATACATTCACAGGTACACCTCCAATCGACTCAAATGATGTCAATTAGCCTATCAGAAGCTTCGAAAGCCATGACATCATTTTCTGAAATTTTCCAAGCTGTTTAAAGGCACAGTCAACTTAGTGTATGTAAACTTCTGACCCACTGGAATTGTGATCCAGTGAATTATAAGTGAAATAATATGTCTGTAAACAATAGTTGTAAAAATGACTTGTGTCATGCACAAAGTAGATGTCCTAACCGACTTGCCAAAACTATAGTTTGTTAACAAGAAATTTGTGGAGGGGTTGAAAAACAAGTTTTAATGACCCCAACCTAAGTGTATGTAAACTTCCGACTTCAACTGTATGTGTGTATTATGAAGGAAATAGAGAAATGAATTGAATGTAATATCGTTGTAGTCTACCTTTTAGATATTTTGTGGCATTTGTTAACAAACCAGTTTTGTGTCTTACTTTAGTTTCTGTCTATATGGCTGCTGTGTGTACAGCTTTGCTTACAACCTAATACAACCTTATTACCTTGAACTATAAATATGCCTTTTCCCTTGTACCCCTGGATCCTGCACAGGTTTTCCTGAGTGTCGCCCCATTGTGACCCCTTTGACTTATATTTTGCAGAATTCATTATGTAACATATGTTGCATTATGTTATATTAAGTGGCGTTATGTTGTTTGACTATCGATACTTGAAAGGTAGAAAGAGGGTGGTTGTGCCATATTCCTGTTTTGCAGGTTTCTGCTTTCCGCTGTAGTGCTCAGACATTTTAAGAAGATTCTGGTCAAAGGATACTTGCCATACCATCTGTTCATTCATTATTGCAGCAATCATCATGACATGACAGAATGTGGAAATGTAATGCAATCTGAAAGCGTCATGCTTTGCTTTGTCACTTTCATTAATTCTGTGTCATATAAAAGGAGCCAGCCTCAATTAAAGCCACTTGTTACTCTCAAGCTTGTACATTGAAAGTATTTGATTTGATTCGTAGTTTATTATCCAACCAATGTTTGGTCGAGCAGCAGAGTTTTCAGAAAAGTATTTTCATTTTCTTCATCCTCATCCTCTTCGTTCTTCTCGGTCTTAAAGGGGCAATCTGCAGGTGCTTCATCCATTTTGGGACTTAATTAATTAAATGTAGCCATTGACTCTTGAAGAATATAACTTATAAATGCCTCATGAGCTTAGTTCAACTGTCATACCCCATCAGAACCCAAAATATAAGCTTGTTTTAACTCCAATGTTTATAAACAAAGTAAATGTAAACAAACATGCCTCAAAATATGGTTAAAACTATCATTGTAATATCATGGATGGTCAGTCCTTGCATCCATAGCTCTTTCTGTGATTTTGAGAGTGGTTACATTTCTCCAGCCCTATCCCTCAGCTTTTTGCCGAAACGGGTGGGGAAACCACATCTTTATTGTTTCAACATCTGATTGAAGCTTTAAAGGGAAAGTTCAGTATTTTACAAATTAATGTTAGATGGTTGGTTCCTCACCCTGAAAGCGATCTGGCCTAGGAGAAACTAATCCATGTTTCAGTTTTCTTTAAATAGCAACTACAAACTTCAGCTAACTTTGGTCACCAAAGCTAAAAATCAACAGAAGTGGTGGGGGCTACCACAGCAGGTTCATCCCGTCTGTCCATCAGACAATGGAAACGCCTTGTTCACATTGGCAGTTTGAAGTGACTCAAATCATATTTTCGTGTATATCTGATTCGAATCAGTTACTTTTCCTGCAGTCTGAACATGGAATCAGATATT